AGAGAGAGAGACAGAGAGACACAGAGACAGACAGAGACAGAGACAGAGACAAAAACAAGGAGAATTTCTAATCTGATGGGTCCAGAAAAATTTTCACAAAGAAAAAATTTACAAAGAACAAAGACATCTGAAGAATTGTGGAGAATTTCTATAGATAAAGTGGGATAAATTTTACAAGCAATTTTACATTTTGTGTATAAGAAATAAGAGTTAAGTTTTATTTATAAGAAAAATCCCAGGAGGCCTCCAGGGCACCTCAGCATCCTGGTGCAGTGCCTGGCATTAGAGCTGCTCAGTGTACATGGTCGTAGTTGAAAAGCAGTGCTGGCTGTAGAGTCTGACTGGCTCTGCTTTGTTTTTTCCAGAGCTAAGTGACACTGAATGGTCATAGCAGAACGTTGAGAAGGTAGACAAGAGCCACACGAGAAACTCAAGTTTTGAGGTCAGAAAGTCAGATTTAATTCATTGGGAAATGAGGAAAACTGAAGGCTTACGTTGGTGGGAGGAGAGGAGAGTGATTAGGCGTGTTTTGTAGCCCTCAGCCTCAGGGGTCTCTGGAGAGAAATCTGTGGCCTTAAAGGCAGATGCAAAATAACCCCCTGGGTAGGAAGAGAAGACCTTGTAGCTTCAACTCATTTTTGTTTACTTCCTTAAGCTTTCGATGTCATACAGTTCATAGTTCACATGATGATTATCACCTGATTGGTTAACATAATGAACCTTAATGCAATATATAAACAAATCGTATCTATTGGAACTATAAAGCACTGTGTATGTGGGTTGTTGGGGTGCACATTTATCAGAAACGGCCAATTCAAGCTGATGTTTTCAGGCCAGGATGGTGCTGCATGCTTGTTATCCCAGCACATGAGAGGCTGAGGCAGGAAGATCACCATGAGTTCAAAGCCAGCCTGGGCTACATGATGAGTTCAAGGTCTGCTTGGACTGCATAGAGAGACTCTGGTTCAAAAACAAAGCAAAATAAGCTGATGTTTTAAGGATTACTGCCTCGGGAGTTGTTGACAAATCATTAAAAAAGCATTACTTGTACTTAAAATGCTGCACCATAATTTGCCCTTGTAGAGTTTTGCAGTAGAAAATTCTGATAGTAAAGAAATTCGTTAAACTAGTTTAATTTTATGCCAGCTATTTTTAACTTTGTTTGCATGTGGACAGCCTCTGCTGTTGCACCTATTAATATCTTATGAATCACAGTTTTGTGGAATTTCCGCTTGTGGAAAGTCAGAATGTCTGAATAAGAAAATTGATTTGAGAAGTATTATGCTAAAAGAGCAGTGCTTTTGATGTGATTAATCAAATCTCATATTTTAGTGGCTGGCAGAATTTTAGATATTAATAATTCACTTTTCAATCTTGCAGTGAAGTACAACAAGCCAGCATGGAGAATTTATGAAAGGATTAATTTAAGGGTAAGTACATACGGGTCACCGGTAAATAGTGATCTGTGATTCTGCAGGCCTAGGTAAGATCTCCCAAGAGCAGAGAAAATAGGATTGCTGTGAGGCTCAAGTGAGATAACACAGCAGACATTTCAATATGAGACAAGGTATGTGTTCAATAAAAGGCTAATTTTAATTTTTCCTATCTTGCCTAACAAAGTGCTTGGTATTTGTACCTTGAACTGAGCAATCTTAAGAAAGATTATCAATGTGTCACAAAGCTATCCTTCTAAATTGTGATATGTACACATTAATTGACAAGGAAAGCTGATCAAAGAAAATACCTTCGCTTTTTGTCTTCCTTTCAATGTTACAATTGTGTATGCCCACTTAAATTTTGTGGTTTTTTTTTAATTTTAGTACAGGGTCTACAGGGTCTCACTACGTAGATTGGACTCGTAGTGATCTGTCTGTGTTCAGCCTCCCAAGCCCTGGGATTCCAGGCCGTGTCACCACGCCCAGTCTCAATCACCATCTCAGCGGGGCGGGGCTGGCTCAGCATGCCACTACGCTCTGCCTAAGCAGGCGCTTTCATCCACTGAGCTATTTGGCTGGCCCTAAGTTGTGGTTATTTTGGTGTCTAATCATTGATATGATTAGAAAATGTCTATAAAAGTTTAAAGCCCAAATACTTCAGCCTGGCCAGAAAAACACAGATGCAGAAATGTCTGAAGGGATCACAGCCCTTGGTTTCATCTGTCCAGCACAGGCGGGAACACATTTTTTTTCATACTAAACAATTACATTTTTTTCCTAAGTTTTATCACCTACAGTGAAAATGTTACAGGTGATCACATTCCTTATTTCTGTGTGTAGCACACGTGTTTCTAAATATTCTGCTTCTGGTGAAATGTCTCCATGTATCTACTTCTTTCTGAATTATTTAGAATACATTTACGTTTATAAAGGAACTAAAGATTTGATGCATGAATGTTGCAAAATATCATAGGAGCGGATAACAAAATACATTCCCATGGTTCTAGCTTTTATACAGAAGAGCAAATATTTAAAATATGCATAAAAACCTAAAGAAAAAATTAAGTGGAGTAAGGGCTTCTCATAACTAAGGCCTCGTAGTAAAAGCACAGAGACAGCATCATTGTCCAAGAAAGAAATAGAATCTCGGGAAGAGAGCCACGTAAAATCAGCTGGACCTGCAGGAAAGGCCTTCAGGCCAGGTAGGATGACGTAGCGCAGCCAGAACCTCTTGCTGATATAATAAACAAATCACATCTCTTACATTTATTTTGCAAGAACAAAAAGTCAGGTGCTGGCAGACATTGTCTGAGCAATGTTTTCCTTTTCTGAATGATTCCCCCAACACCATCTTCAGTTTTTTTTTTTTTTTAACTTTGACTAAATAAACACAAAGTCTTTTCTTTTCATTCCTTCCTTCCTAGTCCATCATCCCCAGAACACTTCCAGCTCTTTTTCATATTTCAGATTTTCCTGAGAAAGCCCTTCTATGAAATTCCAACTCTAGACGCATGACTACTAAGTACTGCTGAATATAAGAGGATTAATTTACACATCTAGGCATTTCTAAAATAAAGAATTCGGCAAAGCAGTGACCCATTTAAGCAAGAAGGCAGGCACTCTCTGGTTCCGAGGAGCCCTCGTACGTTGTCCTGCAGACAGCAGGCGCTCGGGGGGCGTCCGTGTAAGGATTCTTGCAGCTAATAACGACAGGTTTGACCCTCAAACATTCTAGCACGCAGGGCTTCCTGCCGCCTGTGCAAGCTCTTTATCTCACGTGGAGCTCCGACTGTGGGTTTTCCTTTGGCACTTACTGTTGCAGAGTGTTCCCAGAGTGTCGTAGTCTTCCAGGGATTCACAGAGCACTCGCCATTGAGAGAAGACGGAGTTGGGGCTTATGAGAGTCGGATCGAAGCTGCTCCTGGAGCCCATCAAGTCATCAGTGCAGACATCGCAGACGTTTTTCCCGGTTGCGAAATTCCAGTAGGGCAGGGAGAAGGCAGGCTCCTGCAGCATGTCCTAGACACAGAAACTTCGTTAGTTCTCTGGGGGTGGTCTGCTTCCGCTCTGCCTGCTGGCTGGGTTTGCTCTGTTGTTTCTACCGGGTCTCCCCAGTCCCCTAAGGAAGCAGTGAATAGCCTGTGTGCTACTTAGAAGTCCCTGAGACCCAGGACAGTGAAACTCAACTCAGTATTTCCTCAAATAATTTGAAAGGAAAAATTTATTACTGCCTTTTCTGTTTGTCAGGTAATTTCATTTCTCCTGGCTATATAGAAAAAAATCATCCATAAAAATATCCATCCCTTCACATTTATATTTTCCATTTCCTGTCTTTTGCTTGTTTGTTTTTCGCCATGCTGGGAATTGAACTCAGGACCTTGTGCATGTCAGGCAAGTGCTTATTCTATGAGCTCTCTACGCATCCCTTCCATCCCCTGTCTTTTATTTAAACATCGCTAACTCTTAGTGTGATGTCAGGTCCAACTTGGAAATGTGTATCCTGGAACAGTGCCTTCTGTTTCTGTTTTTTTAATTTTATTTAAATGGTTGTATTCAGTCAGGTTCTGGTTTGATGGCAGGGCTCATGGTCTCTCCCACTTTCTCTGCTTGGCGGTTGTTGGCTTAGACTCCTGCTGCAGACTCTAAACTAGAGCTCAGGTCTCTGCCTGAAATTCAGACAGGGAATGCTAAACAGGAGAAAGTTTTGGGTCTGTTCCATTTTAGACCAAAGACCCAACTTCCATTTGGTACTGATTTCACATTTTTAAAAAATGTTGCAGTCAAGGTCCCAACCTCAGAACATACTTTACTCTGTTACTTCCCATTTCTTTTGCCCTGAAAGGAGTTACAGTCAGAGGCGAGAGTGTAGTTAAGGCTGGTCTTGAACTCACTATGTGGCCCATACGGGCCTCAAATCCCCAGACAGCCTTCTGCCTCAGCCTCTCAAGCATTGGGTTCAGAGGTGTGATTCACGTGGAAGGATGCTGTTGCTTTGTTTCTTAAACATACAATACATCATGCCCTTTCACTGTTAATTCCTTTCTGGAACACATTTCCTGATCTGTGGCCATGTTACCGGGTCAGCAGCTTTGCAAGGCACCTCCAGTTACTGACAATCTCCACGGGTTTGTTGACCTCATTTAGAAGCCATTATTGGTGGTCCACACATATTAGTGGCAGCTTCCAAGGTATCATTAAGAAGCAGATTGTGCTTCAGTAGTGGACCACTGGGGACCAGAGCAAATCCAGATAGGGTTTCAGCGGTGCATTCTGTTTAGAATGGAATTTGTTGGCTGCCTTGTGCCTTAAAGAGGTGGAGGGTTGCACCAGCTGAGCGGAAGCCTTGGAAGACCTTCCACCAGCCTCTCACTAGGCGCATCCGTAGGGAGGGATGCGAAGATGTGCAGATCTAGAGTCAGCGAGTGAGGACAGGTTCACGCACACAAAAGCCACTGAGTGTCTTGTAACCAGAGCAATAAAATACGATGTGTGTGCTGCTAGAAGAATTCATCTAATCACACTCACACTGCATAAGGAAGACTACTTGCAAAGAAATGATTTATTCTGCAGTTTAGAGCATTTATTACCTCTCTTCTAACCAATTTTTCTTCTTGAGATAATGCTGCTGCAAGCATCCTGAAAGCCAATACATATGTCTAGACACCTTTTCTGTCTTCAGAAGTTTTTAGGTTAATTTTTAAAATTTTAACGAGGGGGGAGGAGCTTATGATTATTAAGTCCTGGAAGCAAGTTTAATTTATGAATTTCCTAGTTGAGATCTGATGTGTTTTGAGTGTATCTGCTTAAAAAATAAGCAGGAAATAGCTCTACTCAAAGTGAGGTTCACTTTATGATCCTGAAAAGCCAATTTCTTTTAATTAAAAGCAATATCTGATGGATGAATTTTTTTTAAAGAAACTACATATTTTTGGTGCACAACACGATGCTTATGCCTATTGATAATAAAATGACTATAATAGTCAAAAAAGTTAGCCATAATTTCATATAGTGATGTGCAGTCTTCAGATAGTGTATAGAAAAATGTGGCTTAACAAAAATATAACTATCAAAATGGAAAGGAACATTTGCTCATGTCTTAAACTCTAACCTGTGTTGGACGGAATCATCAGCTGTTAAGACGGGGTAGACCAGTTAGAAACAAAGGTGCAGAGCAGTTCGCTCCCTTCCCCCACCTTCGACCCTCAGCAGCACCCATTGGCTGTTCCTGCTTCCATTATCTTAAGAGAGCTGCAGAGTGAAGTCGCAGAAGCCTGAGAGATAGCTGCAACCTGCACGGCACAGAATTCCACTGGGGTTCTGTCAGGCTCCTAGAGCCAGAGTTGTCTGGCCTTTACATTCTAAAAGCCTGAGCTCTGGGCTCCCTTAGGCCCTTTTCCCCTTTTCTGTTGCTGCCTTCCCAGTGGTCTGTAATAAATAGGACTACTACTGGCCCATTCCGCTGTGACAGAGGCATAGCCTGTGTTTGGGGCTGGGCGGAGGAAGGGGTTCATGCACACTCACCAACCAGGAGAGGGCGTCTACTCATCTTTAACAAAGAAGGATCCACACAAAATGAATTTCCTTTGTTTTGAACTCCCTGGGGGTCTTTTAAAGTTAGGGACCAGGAGAGATTCCTAGTGCCTAACTCATGCCTAAGAATGTTTTAAATGGCTTTCTCTTCACTGATACTTCCTTCTCACTGTACAAGAAGGTCAAGTTTAGTTAATCAGCAAGTGATCAGTATGAGGTGAAAAATGGATATCAAAGGTACACTGAAGCATGAAAACGCTTTGTCTTCACATATTCTAATCATTTCAAACAGCAGCTAGCTGCAGTGACTTACAAATGGGTAGCACAACGTTGGCCATGGACTTGAAATTGAACTTTTTCATACATACCCGCATATCTTTCTCCAGCTGCAGGAGGTGATACCGATGCCAGGTGAGAAAGGCTGGTCCTTCATGAGAGAAATCCACTTCCCCAAAGCTTTCCTGCCCTGGCCCAAGGAAAGTCTTTTTGACAGAGTAGTAGTGTGTCCAGACAAAGTAGTTGTAGATGGAAATGTTCTCAAACTGTGGTGCGTTGCCATCTGGCCCCAGGACTTCTTCTGATCTCCTGATGGCAATGACATACTGGGGGTGCGGGGTGCGCTTAGCCATGTCCAGGGCCTGGACAAAGTGCTTCTGCTCCTCTGTGCTTAAGTCCAGAAGATTTCTTCTGACTTTAGGGGTGAAAAATTCAGGTATGAAAAGCGCTGCCTTACAAGGATGAGTAGAGAATGAACCCCCTGTGTCCTGCTCATCCATTAATGGCTACATATGTCTACGTTCAAACTGATTGTTAATCATTTTACAGGTTGGGCACCTTGTCTCTGAAATGCTTGGGACCAGACATGTTTCACATTTTGCAAATTTTTGTATTTTAAAATGCATAATGAGACTTCTTGATTAATTAAAAAAACTGATTTGTTTAATGGATGCCCTATTCACTTAGCCTGTTATTCGTACAACAAAATTAGACAGTAGAGGACTCTCCCCTTGTGGCATTGTGTCAAAATTTTAGAGCTCTGAGCATTTTGGATATTGGACATTTGGGTTAGGGAACTTCCACTTTAAAAATATTCCTAACTAAAGTCTTCTTCCAGCCTTTTCTCTTTCTTTCCCTCCGTACACATATCTAGCTTGTTGCTCTCTGTTATTTTTTAAAATTACATTTGTGTATTTCCAAGTCTTTCATGTGGATTTTATGAATCTGTGACCCTCTCATATTCATTTCTGCTCACTACTGACTTTTTTCTTGGAATTTCTGTTTTTTTTTAACATCATGAATCTTGCAAAAATCAAGTAGGGGTATAGCACAGTGACTAAGATCAGAGCTTTTTTTTTTTTTTTTTTATGAATGTGGGAACATTTTCTAAGCTCAGTATTTCATCTTTAAAATGTGAATATGTACAATACCTGCTTTGCAGAGTGATAAAAATCAGAGCACACCCATAAAAGCAACTGGGCAGGCCTTGATCATAGTAAAGACTAATTAACACTCTTCCACATTGTGAGTCCAGGGTCTGGCACGTAGAGAACGATCAAGTCGCATGGGCTGTTACTATTTAATGCTTTGATTTGCATAGGATGCTATCTCGACTGCAGGCTTAGACGCTCAGCTAAAATGCCTGAATTTGATCATCTTGGTGGCAAACTTCTTTGCTGACTATAGGGATAGTTGGAGAAGCTAAAAGATTAGCGCTCCACAGATCTCAGTGTGAACTCCAGGCGTACAAAGCATCAGATGTGTGGGATTAACCTTTCTGTACCTCATCTTTGGCAATTAGCATAGACACCTTAAGTTCCTCACAGTTCCTAGCATACAGCAACCCATTAATTGATCTTTTGAAGGGAATATTGTGGGTTTAAAGGTCTGGGCTTCAATTCCAACCCTGTACTAAGTGTCACATGTTTCTTAACCCGTCCTAGGCTCACTTTGCTCAACTGGGGAAATGGATATAATTTGCAGGCAATCTTTGAGCTAACAGGACCACCGGGCTGCAGGAGGCGCTTCGGTCCTCACCCAGGTCTGCGCACCAGTTCATACTACCCCTTACCTGTGAGAAGGCGCTGGTTGCAGGCCACTCCTGTCCACCCAGGGCGGCACGCCCCACAGTTGTACCCTGAGAAGTTGCCATTGCAGCGGCACGTCCTGTTGAAGAATCGCAGGGGCCACTCCTCCCGGTCGTCTCTGCCATCGTGTGGGTACTGGCGGCTGTGGGGTCTGGAGTCTGCGGTCACTGCGTCGCACCTGCCCCGCCCCGACGAAGAGCCACAGCGGTCAGTCCCCGGCCCGGCCAAGGGAGACAAATCCGGGCAGCACACAGCACTGCGCAAAGCCTCCACGGTGGCGCACTCGCGTGGAAACTGGGCCCGCACCTGCTGCAAGAGCAGCAGCGGGAAGAGCGCAGACCCCAGAGAGGGGCGTCTGCGGGCCCTCATTCTGCAGGGCGGAGGTCTGGTCTGCATCCTCTGCACGGGGGCGAGGGAGGCCGGTGGACGGAGACTCACCTGGCAAAGAAACAGCACAGAATTACACAAGGGTGTTTTTTAGTATTCTTAAAAAGTGTACAAGCTCTCTCAGCCTCCCTTCAAAATGAAATATCCATATGGAAAAAGACATTTTTAACAAATAATTATATGATAATAGTTCACTTTCAAAAGTGTGATAAGCACACTACCTCCATAATTAAATCCATTTCCTAGTAATTTAATTTTCTTCGCTTAAAATTTTTGTTTATATAATAATACTTATTGACCAAAAGCATTCGTTAGCAGTATTAACCAAGGTCTGAAAGAAGAACTGGGAGATTCCCAGCAAGCTGATTTTCTTAGTGGCCACTCTCCCTGCTGGTGGAGCTAGGGGCAGAGTTCTCTCACTCCAGTACCTTACATTCCCAAGAGCCTTGTCTGCTGGGCCGCCCTCGGAGCGGGCCGTTTTTATGCGCGCTTTGCATGATGTCAGACCTGTTAGTTTCAATGTGGGATTCTGCCTTGCAGCTGAAATTAAACCTGCTTGCTCGACGGGAGGGGCTCGTCCTCCAGCCCTCACTAATCCCTTCTCACATTAGTGAATTTTTCTGCCCTTTAACTACTTTGCCAGCACATGATTCCCTTCCCACTGGTTTCCTTGTGATGCTTAAAGTTTTAAGAAAAGGTCAGCAGTGCTAATGTGGAAAATAAGTTAGAGAAACTACAGCTCCTTTGTTTTTATTGTACAGTAGGATTTTTTTTTTGACGGTATCAGCATGAAACAGATTAATTACATTTTCTTAGTGATACAAAGAACAGGCACTACCTGTACATTACAAGAGCTTTTGATTGTGTTCTGTTTTTAAAAAAGATGCTGTCAGGGCTGACCAGACAGCACAGCTGACTAAAGTGCCTGCTTAGCCTTAGGCAGAGTGCAGGGGCCAGGGTTTGATCCCCTGGTGTGCCCATGCCAGTCCTGCCCCCTGGGTGTGCTGAGAAGGTAATTCAGACTGGGTGTGTTTGCCTACACCTATAATCCCAGAGTTTGGAGGCTGAAAGCAGGAGAACCACTATGAGCCTGATCTACATAGTGAGATCCTGTAGACCCTGCAAACTCTGCACTAAATACATAAAATGAAAAAATAAAACAAAAAAGTAAAAGAAGTGTTGTCATTTTAACAGCCTCTAAGAGGAACAGTTGTACAACATGAACCAGATCCAGTTTCACCAACCCACATAGCAATGGCCTGAGCTGGGTTCCTCCCCCACCCCCACCCCTGCCCTGAGGCTGGTGTCCGTTACCATGGCAACGCATCACAGAATCACTGATGGACTTGCTGTTTGGAACATGCCCACTACATGACTTCTGATGCCCACCTCTTCTGTATGCCGTAGCAGTATGGGTAAGGGCTATGTATAACTGGAGAGGAGCTTTCTCCTGAAGTTGAAGTTTATGCTTATGAAGTCACTCCTCAAGGGCAGGGTTTTGTACAAAGGTGATCAGGATCCATGGTTACTATTGGCTGTCTCTAGCTAATTCTACTAAGCCATAAAATTGACCAGAAGACCATCTAAGACAGTGAGTGTATGATTATTAACATAAAATATAGCTAAGCCTAGGCAAACCGAGAAAACAAGAAGAGTCTCCTATTTACAGCCCATGGTCTACACCATCACGTGATTTATTCCAACCATATTGAAGTTGGTTGCTAAGATATTGTTGGCCAATTCAAAGTTCATTCTCTTTTTAATTTTTTTGATCTGTTATGTATAAAATGTCTATTAATATGTTTCTTGGGATATTTCATACAATGTTTCTAAGAAACAGAAAAAATTTTGATTACTTATGCATAAAAGCAACTAGTTTTTCCAGCTAGATCTGCAGGGTATCAGTATCACAGAATTAGTATCTTTGCTCTACAAGAAGCCCACAATGATTAGAATTTTTTTTTTTTTTTTACTACTATGATATTGCTAAAGTGGATTGAAGTTGCTGCTGTGAAATGTTGAAGAAGTATTTTCTAGTCTTAATGAATGGCATTTTGATATACCATTGTGAGAATCCATTAAGATATATTTACCTGTTCTCCTGTGGTGAACATTTAGGTCTGTCTGTCTGTCTGTCTGTCTGTCTGTCTGCCTGCCTGCCTGCCTGCCTGCTTTCCTTCCTTCCTTCCCTCCTTTCTTCCTTCTTTTCTTCCTTTCTTCTTTCTCCTGCTCTCATGGACGATGCTGCTAGGAATCATGTTTAAACACTTATTAAGTGTATGTATGCATTTGCGCACGTTAAGTCTCTAGAGTGGACATTGCTGGTCATAGGGTTTGTGAATATTTACGGGGTGATTTTAAATTGTTGTCCAAGTGCTTTCCCAAACCTCATGTTCTAGAGTGTTTAAAAGTGTTTTCAATGTATAGTACATAAGAATTTATTTCATTTAAACTACTAATTTATCTTCGTTTATTGAAAAGAAAGATTTGTGTTATTATCAGTTTGTTATTCTTGTCAGAATCTTGTTGGCTTATATCTTGTACTCAGAGTAAATATTTGATAAAAATAATGCAGTGTAACAGCTATCATTATTATCTTATTATTTGGTGAAGATTACTTTTTAATTTATTTATTTTATTTATTTATTTATTTATTTATTTATTTTTTGCAGAACCAGGGATTGAACTCAGGCCCTTGTGCTTGCCAGGGAAGCACTTATTCCACCGAGCCATCTTCCTGGCCCTTGAAGATTACTTTTTATAAAATAAAAAAGATTTTATTACTAAAATGTTAAAAATTATATTGTTTCATTTCCATGCCAAAAAAAGCAACCGAAAATAAACTGTTGTCCAAAGTAGTTGTTTCATTTTATATTCCCACCATCATTATTAAAATTGCTTATTGATTCTCAACTTGTTAACTTATTATTATTAAACATAATTGACAGCTGTGTACAGAGTGGGCCTCTCTCGTCTTTAATTTTGCTTTCTGTGGTTTCAGTTACCTTTACTCAATTGTGTTCTAAAATAGTTAACGGCAAATTGCAAAAACAACTTACAAAGTTTGAATTGTGCGCTATTCTGGGGAGGAGATGAACACTCATGCTGCCTTCCTGGGGGAGGAATCACCCCTTTTTCTGACATATTCATGTCATTTATGCAGCTGGCTCATCAGTTCCTCAGCAGCCAGCTCAGTTTCCAGAGGTTATCGGATACTCCATGTGAGCACCTCAGCGCTTGTGTCTCCAAAACATTCCTTTACTTAATAGTGCCTCGAAGTGCAAATGGATTGAGGCTGGCAATGTGGATGTGCAAGACAAGCTGTAACTTCTTTTCTGTTTTGTTTAACTGAAAAGGTAGCACTCTTGATTAGCAGGAAAAGGAAACACGTTGTGTGTTGCAGTCAGTCGGTTCTAGGGTGAGTGCGAATAGGATAAACATCAGGAATGTGAAGCTGATGCTCTCAGGAGTCAAGCAGGCATCTTGGAATGTGTCTGTGTCCTTGATACCAGGACAGTAGCTGTGCTTCCTGGGCGTTTCTCCACTATGCAAATCATCATACTATTAATAACAATGGTTATATTTTTCATGAGTACTTCTAATACTTCTTGTTTTGTTTCCAGGTCTTCATTATTATCAATAGTAATTCTTTGATGAACTTTTAATCTCAGATTGTTTTTTTAGCTTATTTCTCACAGATTGTGGGGGGGGGAAAGGTAGGATTAAAAAACTACATTAACTCCCTTCTGTGGGAAGTACAGATCATCTTCTCTATTTGGAAAAGCAATAAGCAATATCCATTAATATGTAAAGTGAGATTTGACGCAGGTCCAGCATGTGAGTGGGATCACCTGGGCCCCGCCGGATCATTACTCAACCCAGGCCTGGTGTGTGAGTGAGAACCCTGGGCCTGCCCCATCCTCATTTGACCCAGAGCCCAGACCCAGGGTAAGGCCTGGTGTGGAACCCTGCAGTAGAACTTCCTGTAAAGACACTAGATGCAAGACCCACTAAGCTGATCCAAGAGCAGAACATCCTTGACAGAGTGGCACAGAGGGTTCACCTCCAAGGGCTGCAGCAGGAAGAAATGGAGCACAGCAACCAGACCCAAGCCACACACATGTGGATGAGTTTGAACTTGATAGATGCAGACTTAGTGCTAAGGTAATAACTCTACCAAAGCTCTACACCAAATGTCAGAAGGCAGTGCTATACAAAACAAAACAAAACAAAGAGAAGAAGCAAAATGCATCCTCCGGCCCTGAGCCCACCCAGAACAAATGCAGGAGACACTAGCATAGAATAAATTGGAAATCACACACCTGAAATCTCTGAACTAATAGCATTGGCAGTAAAGAAACAACTGCAGAAAGGCATAGAGGAAATCAGAGCAGAAATAATTTCTGAAGTAAAAAAAGAAATGATAACTATAATGAAAGAATTACTAAATGTTTCTAAAGAAGACATTGATAAAAAATAAAGGTGAATGGAAAAATGACGGAATCCTTGAATAAGCAATATAGAAAAGGAAAAGAATGTATGAAACAGATTCAAAGTGTGATATACAGGAAATTAAAATCTCAATCACAAACTGGCAAAAATGTTTGAATGAAAGTGAAAATAGACTTTCAGACCTTAAAGACACCGTTGCAACTAGTGAAAAAGTAAGAAAAGATCTAAAAACAACTAGGATGCAAGAAAAAAATAATTAAACATCTGCAAGACAGTGCAAAGATGAACAATGTAAGACTAATAGACATTAATGAGAAAGGAGTCAATACAAATGATATAAAAGGAATATGGACAGAAGTAATAGCAGAAAACTTCCCAAACATGGGGAAACAATCTCACACACTGGTAACGGAAGCATGTAGAACTTAAATAACAACAACCCAATTAAAAACACATCCAGACATATAATAATAATCAAGATCCAAGAAATTCAGCATGGGAACAGTACAATAATAGCTGCTAAAGAAAAG